TCAATCAATTGTGATTACATCTCAGTCCTACAGGAGGTTAGTCACGGCTCGGATAGCTCAGTGGTAACGTCTCTGACTGTGAAGCTGGGTGACACGAGATCGAATCCGCCAGGGAGCACCAGTTCCCTCAAGATTACAGGTACACCTTGCTGACGAGTGCCAAGTAGCACGAAACCCGGGTCCAGGGATTCCTGTTGACTACCTCCAACCACCATCTAATCTCAATACATAGTGCCCGCAGTGTCGAGTCACCTAGACTGGTGGCCACATTGCAACATGATCGATAGCATTCGATCTGCACTAATAAGGACTAGACAAGCATGAGATTGATCACCACCCAGTGATCAATCAATTGTGATTACATCTCAGTCCTACAGGAGGTTAGTCACGGCTCGGATAGCTCAGTGGTAACGTCTCTGACTGTGAAGCTGGGTGACACGAGATCGAATCCGCCAGGGAGCACCAGTTCCCTCAAGATTACAGGTACACCTTGCTGACGAGTGCCAAGTAGCACGAAACCCGGGTCCAGGGATTCCTGTTGACTACCTCCAACCACCATCTAAGCTCTGATATAGTATTAGTGGCCGGTGACTTCAATGCTCAAGTAGGTAAACTAAGCGATAGGGAAAGACACCTAGGTGGATCTTATGGTGTCGTGGCTCAAAGAACAGATAATGGCGACCGTCTGTTGCAGCTATGCTCAGATAACCGCCTGTTCCTTGCAAATACTAACTTTAAGCATAAGGAAAAGCATCTTTTAACATGGCGACCCCCTAATTCGTCCCAACGTTGGACCCAAATAGATCACATCGCTATCAGCCACCGATGGAGGGGCTCGATAGAAGACTGTCGCTCATTCTGGAGCACATGCCTAGATTCAGATCATGCTCTAGTGCGAGCGCGTATTTGCTTGCGTCTTACTGGACGTAGGAAAGACGCTGCAAGGAAACCTCTTAGGGGCCTATTTAATGATAGTCAAGCTAAGAGTATATTTCAGGAACAACTAGGAAAACAGTTAGGCAGCCATGTATGTGATGCCCACCCCGAGGCAGCATGGAATGATATCCGAAAAGCTGTGGAAACAGCTGTGATATCTGCTAGTAAGGTAAACCAGAAGGTTAGGGAGCAACACTGGATCTCAGCAGCATCTATCGCACTGATAGATGCTCGTAAACTCATTCCACCCGGCTCTGAACATAATGAAGAGCGGAGTCAGCTTAAGCGCAAGCTGACAAGAAGTCTACGCAATGATCGCGAACAGTGGTGGGTAGCGAAAGCAAGAGAGATGGAAAAGGCAGCGGCAATAGGTAATAGCAGACAATTGTTCAGACTCGTTAAGGAATCCGGAATTAGGAACCCGACCGTTAGCGAAACAATCTCAGAGAAAGATGGACATATTATTCATTCTCAATCCAGGAGATTGGATCGATGGGCAGAACGCTTTAGGGATCAGTTCAACTGGCCTTCAGCCACACTTCGGTTTCCCACGATCTCTAGTCAACCTGAATGGCAAGTTAATGTAGGTCCTCCGTCCCTTTACGAAGTTGAAAAAGCCATAGGAAATCTGAAACGAGGGAGAGCAGCAGGCCCTGACAGGTTTACTCCTGAGATTTTTAAGGATGGTGGTCCAGTATTAGCAATGAGATTAACCGAGGTCTTAGGCAGAATTTGGGAACAAGACGTAATCCCATCTGACTGGTCTCAATCACTGATTGTGCCAGTCTATAAGAAAGGACAAAAGTCCTCTTGTGACAATCACAGAGGAATCAGTTTGACTAATATAGTATCTAAAATATTAGCCTCAATAATACTTCGACGCCTAATCAAAGCTCGTGAAGAGCAGGTAGAGTGTGGGCATACAACCACATTTCTCCATTGTTCCATTCAAGCAGTGGGGTTAGGCAAGGTTGCCCAATCTCACCACTCCTCTTCAACTTTGCCATCGATGACATTCTGGAAACAGCTCTGATGGATGCAAGTAATGGCGGTGTGGATCTGCTGCCTGGAGAAAGACTTCTCGACCTTGAGTATGCGAATGATATTGTCTTACTGTGCGATAATGCCCAAGCCATGTAATCCGTACTTAATCAGTTGGCAATCAATGTCCGCAGGTATGTTATGTGCTTTGCACCTTCGAAGTGCAAAGTACTTCCACAAGACTGGTAGGATTCTAATCCTGTACTCACCCTGGATGGTGAGCAGATAGAAGTAGTCGAGAAGTTCGTGTATCTGGGTAGCTGCATAAGTGCTGGTGGGGGTGTGAGTGATGAGATCAATGCACGTATAGTGAAAGCCAGAGCAGCTTATGCCGATCTGGGCCATCTTTGGCGCTTTCGTGATGTCAGTCTGGCTGTAAAAGGTCGGATCTACAACGCGTCGGTGAGAGCAGTTTTGCTCTATGAAAGGAAGGGGTGGTTAGTGTATGACATGGTGTCGTGGTATGAAAGAAAGTTGCAAAGGGCTGGCTTCTGTTGGTCCTTCACGACTCCCTGGTTGGGGTCCTAGAGATGGTGCGACACAGTGGCTAGAGACGTTGTCAGATATGGCTCAGAATAGAAGCCAGTGGCGATCCTGCTGTAACCTTCTTTTACTTCCTTCGTAAAAAGTGGTTGTGTCTCCTTTAACTGAAAGATTTCTTCTGGTTGTACCTTTCCGTTTCCCCCTTTATTATTATTATCATTATTATTATTACACTTCCTTACACTAATCTGGTCGTTATTGTTCCTCTTCTTTTTCTTCTTTTACGCTCCTTACCTCTTTTTTCTCCTCATTCTCATTGTTTTTCGTGGCGCATATATATTTGGTGCCCCCTTGTACCAATATTTATGTGTTCAAATAAATAATAATAAATAAATAATCACTCTGGGTGATGGATGATACAAACCAGTCCAAAACATTCTATTGACACTCAAGGGAGCCGGAAGACTGCTTAATTTCTGTATCTCCACGGAATACCACTATATCATTTGCATGTTATATGACTTATAAATGGTTGTCTACGCAAGATACTCAGCATCCATTGGCCGGATACCATCAGCAACAGTCTACTGCGGGAGGGAACAAACCAGATTCCAGATGAAAGGAAATTAGGAAAAGACGATGGAAATTGATAGGACATACATTGAGGAAATCACCAAACTGCATCACGAGGTAAGCCCTAACTTGGAATCCTGAGGGGAAGCGGAGAAGAGGAAGGCCAAAGAACACGTCACGTCGGGAAATAGAAGTAGATATGAAAAGGTTGAATAACAACTGGAAAGAACTGGAAAGGATTGCCCAGGACAGGGTTGGATGGAGAATGATTGTGGGCGGCTTATGCTCCCCTACGAGCAGTAACAGGCGTAAGTAAGTATTCTATGACTAAATTAAATAAAAAGGGAAGTAGTAAATAGACCTAACAAACACCACCTTAGGTTGATAGTTCGCCACAATCTCCGAATTGAATAGTAATGTTTGAGTAGACTGCCTTTAAAAAGTTTATGTAATTCCTTAGTACGCCTTTTAATGACGGACAATGCTACATAACCTCTTGGTCAACGAAGTCGAACGCCATCCTAAGGCCAACAAATAAAGCTGTTAAAAAGACATATTAATTTTATACAGTCCCCGTTTTTAATTCGAATGGCTATTACTTCCGCACTTTAGTCGGAATTAAGTAACCATGCCTATGTTACAAGAACTGATGAAGTAAATGTTTAGTCAATAGATCCGCGTCCAAGTCTGAAACCAGCCTGCACTTGCTGGTTTGGCTCCGCAAATATTCAGAGTAATATTTTACAAACAGATCCTTGAGTACAGAAATGTACGAAGATTAACTTCTTGATAATCAAAACATAATATTTAAGTCGAGTTTTGAAGTAAACAACTTCGAATTTTTAAACCACAATATGAAAACTATTTGAGGTTCTAAGAAACTCGAATTCTTAGTGACTTATTGTCTAGAACAATACATAAAATGTTATCAATTCGCATGCTAGTTTTAATGGAATCGACAAAGATAGCGGTAGTTAATGGACCTATTTGATGTTCAGTTATCATAGATTATTTTCAGTTTTTGATAGCTGAAACGGGTAAAAACCGTGTTAAGAGTTGTTGTGTACTGAACAGGTCTGCTAGGATGTGATGTATCTGTTTCTGTCAAATTTACAAGTCAAAACTACTGTTTCTTATTTCTGTTTCATAATTACGCTATACTGAACTTACTTTTTGTTAACCTGGATTATCATTTTACAACACTCTGGTAGACAACATCATGAATACAAACACATTTTTAACAGAATGAAGGGTCGTTTAGAACGTCTACACTACAAGCCTTAAATTTTATGCATAAAGGTTTGTTGGGAAATCTGAGTCACATAACTGGAAGCCAACTACAGAAAACACTGGATCTAAGTATTGTGCAGGAACGCAAAGATTTAGACTTGGTTTAACCAAACAGATGTTGTCAATGAACTACTCGGGGTAGTGGTCTTGAGTATATCAAGGTGCACAAGTGACCTTGATGTTTCAAATACGATTTTTCGAAATTGCTCATGGCTTCTGGACAATCGCCCTCATACAACATGATATAAAAAAGTGCTGAGTGATTCTCTTCGGGCTCCTTTCCAGTTGTTTCCAATTGTAAAAGAGAGCCCAAAAAGAATGACTCTGCAATATTTGATATCATATTGCCAAGAAGCGAGATTAGGTCAATTAATTTGATAATGACATTATATACTTAGAATATAAACATGACCCCTAGGTAACAACCAAGTAGTATAGTTTATATTATTCACTACGAAGTGACTACAAAACTTGGGTGAATTCCCTAAATCAAGCAATAAGGAATATATATTTGTAACGCATGATAATACTACTAACAGTTCAAAACAGCACATATGCCCCCTATAATTGTGAGTCCTGGTAAATCCAAAATCATTCAAAGCTATATTGATTCTACATATTATTATGACCACATATAAAGGTGCTTACAAAATCCAAGAGCACAATAGGAGACCTACCTAGATTGATCCATTCTACACATTTAACTTTTTCCTCCAACTCCATAGATAATATGGCACTTTTGCTATCCAAGCTCCATATATGCAGTGTACCATCGTAACCACCTGTTAGAATGCTGACAAAAAAACAAAACAAATTCAGAGAAAAACGAGGAAACTTAGTCGATATTAACCGGTTGAACAGTGTGGTTTGGGTTTCATGATAATTTAATCGCTATCCTAAGTGGCGAAGTGCGAAAACATAATATTTTAGTGTCATTAGCGTAATTTAAGACGTGTTCTGGTGTATCTGTCTTACAAGAGCTAGGATATAACTGTATACCGGCACATTTACTGATAATCAATCCGTGGCTTTAAATATCACATCACTGTAGAATTGTTTGAAGCTGTAGCCTAGTGCTTAAAACACATAAACTTCAGAAATAGGTCAAAGGTTTGGACCGCATCTCACCTACGTCAGAGACCTGGTGAAACTACTAACCCACACAATGTGGCTTAAAGTTAAGTGAACGAAACTTGACTGGGCAAACGGGTAAACACAATCAGCATTATGTGCTAAGCTACTCGTTTGTCACAGTTACAGTATATACACCCACGATAGAGTAAATAACTAAACTACGGTTGCTACTTATTGAAGTTCTAAAACCAATATGTAAGTTTCACAGGTATACTTTGATTATTTAGAACATGGCAAAACTTATTACATTCGAGGGCTTAAGCAGCACGTTACATACATTAACCAAATAAGCTACTTATATAGGCTACACAATTTGTTCTAAACTCATTAGCAGATTATCTATAATTACAATAAACTAACACAAACAAATAATTCAATAAAAATAAAAGTTATGAATTAAGAGTGTAAGACCAACTATCTTTCCAATTCAGTAGTAACGTTATCCGAGAGCTAATCATTTTTTGACAATCTGCTGTGAAGTAAAAAAACAATGTGGTATTAATTAAGCGAGTTGCTAACAATTACTTTACGGATTTGCAACCACCATCAATCTGCTACTGAGTAAATGTTTAATCAAAGATCGCTTTTACCTTCTCAATTTTATAACCTTATTTGACAAAATTATTAAACAATTATCAGTAGGAAGCATTAACCGCATTGTAACTACTTACTACTTATCACAGCGTTTGACACAGCTGATCAAGTCATCCTGTACATATTCTTTTTCGTATTTTGGTGGTTCTTGTTTTGGACAAAACTCAATGTCAATGGTTTCCTAAAGTAATGACATCTAACTAAACAAGGACTCACAGATATAACTTCTTTTTCTGATAAGTATTCATGCAAAGTTGAAGTTAGAATCAAATCGTCCACGAGAAACGTAAATTCCGGATATGTCCTAGACTCTCTGGTTTCTGCACAATAATGTGTAAGAAAAGCATATTACCATCTAGCAGAACTTTGACTAAATTATTGAGTTCTTCAACAGTCGTGTGTTGTGGTACTGCAATCGGTGCGGAGGGAACAGAATACCTTGGAGGTATTTCACAGTTTTATTGAAGACCTACTGTTTGGATTTCGTGTAAAAAGTTATTTGGACGTTCTGATCCATTGGTGCACGCCAAATGGTAGCACAAAAGCCAAATGCACCGCCACAAACAGCTACGATTTAGATTCAGATTTGGGTAGAAAGGACAGAAGGCCTACGACATATGTTAATCCTTTTCTAGTAAGCTTCTGAGAATGTCTGATCCACTCTTAGACGAGTCAATTGAAGGGCCGGACACCACTACTTCAGGTAGCAGGCTCCAAGTAAGGATGACTGTGTGAAAACCTGTAAGTCTCGCGGAACGCCACTATGTACATGTTTCCAGAAGAAGCACTTGGAATTCATCTTTACTTTCCGTCTATGAACTACCAAGGAATCTTTCAACCATTCTAGGGGGGTCCGGCAATGCCTAGATTTTCCAGCCACAAGAGTAGTCTATTTTATGACACCTTATCAAATGCTTTGCTGAAGTCTATATGAACAACATCCACAGATTTACCATTGTCTACCCACCACCCTCTTGCCACGGGATTTGTTGAATAAAGTAAACCTTTTGTGAAAACGTTTAGTTCCCTGTATAAAAAACCCTGGTTTCCACGAATGACATTATGTTAATTTTAATTATTATTTTCATTATTTTAACTACTACAGGAGTGACGTCGACAAGTCTTTAGTTTCATGGAAGTTGTTTTGATCTTTTTTGATATACTGGAATGACAAATACATCCTCTCAGTTTATATACCACAGATGGTTCATTCCATGACTTTATTGTTGATACAGACAATATTAAGTCCATAGTTTCATTCAAGAACTTGGAATATCTAGATTCTAACGTTGTTGTACAACCTAACGAAATCTCGGTATTACTGGACACAAACTACCCACGCGAGGTGCTACGAACTGCTAATAAGATGTGACAATTCTTCAGACATCAACCCCCCTAGTTGGGTAGTGATGACCCTAAGGCGTGGCCAGCCAGAAGTTTAAGCACAACGAGTTTGCCGTTGGTAAACATTCTTCTGATAGCTTGCTATGTTGATCAGCGTCTGGCCGTCTTTCCTTACTTTAACGGATTATGTAGTACAATATAGTAATAAAGAAACAAGGTACAGTGAAAATTTCGGTTCGTCGTAAATCTTGTCGTTCTTTTTTCGTCTTTTCCAGTCGTACTGGAAAAGAAAAAAGGATGTGTAAGTGCATGTCGAAGTAAGACTCGCACGTGCGTAAAGACACAAAGCAGGCGAAAAATGGAAAATATAATCATGCACAAGCGATAGAATGTTTTTTAGTTTCCTTATAAAACTTTTGATATACATATATTTGCGAGCATATTAGCAAAAAATCTTGTACTTTTTTCAGAACAACTATATAAATATAAGCATATTAAAATTGTTTTTTATATTATATACAATACAAAGAAAAATCGGGAAGAAACAAAATGTCACCAAGTGTCTTACGTTTAAATGTTCTGGAAATCTTACTCCTCTTCCAGAATGCGTTGTTTTGAGTCTATTTTCAGATACTGCTGGAGTATCATCGTGAGAGTTGGCCATCAGATGAGGTATCGTAAGTGACGGAGTCGTGTCTTTCGGTTGTACCTTGTGTAGGAGGTATTCAATGTCAGCTTTCACTGCACTGCGAATACCTAGAAAGTGCAGATTCGAACTGGCATCCGCGATCTGATGGTCGAAGGGCAGCTGAAGTTTGCTACCCATCGTTCGACAAAGGCACGGGCCACTGTTTCAGCCAAAATGTAATTGGTAGGTACTGCTCCTGTCCACCAAGTGAAAAGATCTACGCAGGTTAAAAGATAAGAGTGTCCATTTGAATCTGGTAAAGGTATTACCAAATTCAAATGAACATGGTTGAAACGAGCGTTGGGAGTTTTGAAAGAGCCGAGGGAATATTGATTGCGTCTAATCACCATAGATTTCTAGCAGCTCAAACAGGAGCGTGCCCACTCTCTCATGTCTTCATTCATGCCAGGCCAGCAAACACGTTCTGCTTGATGATGTCACGGGTATTCAGTGTTTGACAACGCTTCTACCAGTAACACCTTCTAATATATTTCATTCCCGCCCAGAGAAATCAAAAGACAGAGTCGAGGAGATCGGAAGAGTGTATTTGGCGATGACCAATATATCGGAATTCTCTGATCAAATCTGGCTAGCGATTGCGGTTGATGTTGAGCACGGCGTTACCACACGTGATCTGGTGCGGATGCCTGACCGAGCGCCATCAGCTAGATGAGTCCACTAAAACATATGGTCAGCGTCCAATGTCGAAAACTTACAGAGCTATTTATTTTGGGGATTTATTTACCGCTACATGCTAAAAGCTTGATGGTTGCACGAACACCTGAATGAGAAAGTTTGCAACTTATTGAAAATGTTGCTTCGACAATGTTTCAGCTCGCTTGGGCGGTTCCTACCTGCATATGTGTCACATAGCAAAGTCTCCTTATCTGTTCCAATCTGTTTAATGGGTCGTTGAGGATAACTCGTGCTGAAGATCAATGCCTTTGTGGAGAGAGGCCTGACAGCCTTATTTTGTAAATGGTTTTCAATGTTGTTTGTATTTATTTTGTCAATTTCTCACCGCATGTACATTTGTAATTAAGTGATTGTACTTGTTGTTTTAGTAAATGACCTTGAAGACTTTTTCCGTTGTGATACTAACATAGCGTGACACACTTTTGGTTGTTCGCAAATACACTACTACACACAAACGCTCCTTGTTCTGTTCTCACGCGTTATCGATCTATTCGCATTCTGAATCGAATATTATCCACATTTCAGACTGCTGTGCCATTTCTATTACATTCTACGTCACTTAAATCAGCTAGTTGTTGCGTGTTCCGTTGAGTTTTGGTCCCAAAAATTTACAATTATTTATGAGTAATAGCTCCAATGAGGTAAATATGACTCCAGTAAGTTTCTTTGACGTAGGATGTATATTCCTTATTGCTTGATTTAGGGAATTCACCCAAGTTTTGTAGTCACTTCGTAGTGAATAATATAAACTATACTACTTGGTTGTTACCTAGGGGTCATGTTTATATTCTAAGTATATAATGTCATTATCAAACTAATTGACCTAATCTCGCTTCTTGACAATATGATATCAAATATTGCAGAGTCATTCTTTTTGGGCTCTCTTTTACAATTGGAAACAACTGGAAAGGAGCCCGAAGAGAATCACTCAGCACTTTTTTATATTATGTTGTATGAGGGCGATTGTCCAGAAGCCATGAGCAATTTCGAAAAATCGTATTTGAAACATCAAGGTCACTTGTGCACCTTGATATACTCAAGACCACTGCCCCGAGTAGTTCATTGACAACATCTGTTTGGTTAAACCAAGTCTAAATCTTTGCGTTCCTGCACAATACTTAGATCCAGTGTTTTCTGTAGTTGGCTTCCAGTTATGTGACTCTCAGATTTCCCAACAAACCTTTATGCATAAAATTTAAGGCTTGTAGTGTAGACGTTCTAAACGACCCTTCATTCTGTTAAAAATGTGTTTGTATTCATGATGTTGTCTACCAGAGTGTTGTAAAATGATAATCCAGGTTAACAAAAAAGTAAGTTCAGTATAGCGTAATTATTAAACAGAAATAAGAAACAGTAGTTTTGATTTGTAAATTTGACAGAAACAGATACATCACATCCTAGCAGACCTGTTCAGTACACAACAACTCTTAACACGGTTTTTACCCGTTTCAGCTATCAAAAACTGAAAATAATCTATGATAACTGAACATCAAATAGGTCCATTAACTACCGCTATCTTTGTCGATTCCATTAAAACTAGCATGCGAATTGATAACATTTTATGTATTGTTCTAGACAATAAGTCACTAAGAATTCGAGTTTCTTAGAACCTCAAATAGTTTTCATATTGTGGTTTAAAAATTCGAAGTTGTTTACTTCAAAACTCGACTTAAATATTATAATTTGATTATCAAGAAGTTAATCTTCGTACATTTCTGTACTCAAGGATCTGTTTGTAAAATATTACTCTGAATATTTGCGGAGCCAAACCAGCAAGTGCAGGCTGGTTTCAGACTTGGACGCGGATCTATTGACTAAACATTTACTTCATCAGTTCTTGTAACATAGGCATGGTTACTTAATTCCGACTAAAGTGCGGAAGTAATAGCCATTCGAATTAAAAACGGGGACTGTATAAAAGGAATATGTCTTTTTAACAGCTTTATTTGTTGGCCTTAGGATGGCGTTCGACTTCGTTGACCAAGAGGTTATGTAGCATTGTCCGTCATTAAAAGGCGTACTAAGGAATTACATAAACTTTTTAAAGGCAGTCTACTCAAACATTACTATTCAATTCGGAGATTGTGGCGAACTATCAACCTAAGGTGGTGTTTGTTAGGTCTATTTACTACTTCCCTTTTTATTTAATTTAGTCATAGAATACTTACTTACGCCTGTTACTGCTCGTAGGGGAGCATAAGCCGCCCACAATCATTCTCCATCCAACCCTGTCTTGGGCAACCCTTTCCAGTTCTTTCCAGTTGTTATTCATCCTTTTCATATCTACTTCTATTTCCCGACGTGACGTGTTCTTTGGCCTTCCTCTTCTCCGCTTCCCCTCAGGATTCCAAGTTAGGGCTTACCTCGTGATGCAGTTTGGTGATTTCCTCAATGTATGTCCTATCAATTTCCATCGTCTTTTCCTAATTTCCTTTCATCTGGAATCTGGTTTGTTCCCTCCCGCAGTAGACTGTTGCTGATGGTATCCGACCAATGGATGCTGAGTATCTTGCGTAGACAACCATTTATAAGTCATATAACATGCAAATGATATAGTGGTATTCCGTGGAGATACAGAAATTAAGCAGTCTTCCGGCTCCCTTGAGTGTCAATAGAATGTTTTCGACTGGCTTGTATCATCCATCACCCAGAGTGATTATTTATTTATTATTATTTATTTGAACACATAAATATTGGTACAAGGGGGCACCAAATATATATGCGCCACGCAAAACAATGAGAATGAGGAGAAAAAAGAGGTAAGGAGCGTAAAAGAAGAAAAAGAAGAGGAACAATAACGACCAGATTAGTGTAAGGAAGTGTAATAATAATAATAATA